TGGGTGGCCCAGTTGGTTAAGCATCCAATTTCAGCTCAGGTCATGATCTCATGGGTTTGTAGGTTTGAGCCCCACATCGGGCTCTCTGCTGTCAGCACAGAATCTTGCTTTGGATCCTGTCCTTCTTGCTCTCTCCCCCCTCCCTTGCTCCCTCCCCCTCTCTCTTTCTCTCTTCCTCTTAAATAAAAATAAACATTTGGGGCGCCTGGGTGGCTCAGTCAGTTAAGTATCCAACTTTAGCTCAGGTCAAGATCTCACTGTTTGTGAGTTCAAGCCCCGTGTTGGGCTCTGTGCTGACAGATGAGAGCCTGGAGCTTGCTTTGGATTCTGTGGCTCCCTCTCTCTTAGTCCTTCCCCCACTCGTACTGTCTCTATCTCTCAAAAGATGAATAAATGTAAAAAAACAAAAAAAAATTTATAAAAAATAAACATTTAATAAATAAATCTGGGGGAGCGACAGTAATATATTTACGATTTAAAATAACTTTAAAAATGCACTTAAGATACAAATAATCAGGGATTAATCAAGACAGTTTATCTGGTCTCTGGCCAATGTTCAGAAGTCCGAGCTTCAGCTACCATAGCTACAAAATTCTGACTCAGTCCTGAGCAGACTAGACACCCAGGTGTGGTCACTCAAGAATAAGCATTACTTCTAACCCACAATCTTGTAGGCAAAAGCAAGGAACAGAAGACTTCTTGATGTACTAAATGCAGTGTCATACAACCAAAATAATAAATGTTAAGTTTTTCTTCCTTTACACTGCCAAGGGACATCTCTCTCTACCCTCTCCAAGAACACAACAAAAAAGTAAAAGCCAGGAACTGAGTAAGAGACCAAAAAGTATACAGTTAGAATTCAAATTTGGCCCAGTGATGCCCAGTAGAATACAAAAAAAAATATCCTAGGATCTCAGTAATACCAACATATGATTTACTACAATGGATCCTAAGTATCTCCTCACCTAATACTCAATAATGGATTTATGAACATGTATATACATGTATTAGCCATAAAGAACAGCTATACACAGAATACCGTCTCACTTTGAAAATGTTCCTCTTTCAGAGTGATTTTCTTCAGTTTGCTCCATACTGTCAAATACACATGTCAAAGAAAGAAATCTAAACTGTACAAGAGTGTAACCTAAAATGAAAAAGTTTTATTCATTTCCCAATTCTCTAAATTCCTTCCCCAAAGCCAAAGCAATGATTATTAACAGTTTTTTAGGATATTCTTGCACACGATTTATATATAAAAGCATGAATATACATTTTTAAGGTTTTTTACACAAAGATTCTATTTTAATAGACCAATTTATGACTTGCTTTTTTCACAAATATCTCTTTCATCTCTCCATATCAGCCTTATGTAAATTTACCTCATTCTTGTTAATGACCTCATAATATGTAAGGATATACCATAATTTATCACAGCCCATCCATCATTAAAGGACATTTAGTTTGTTGGTCTTATTTAGTTTGGGAATTCCATACAATGCTGTGATAAATGTCCTTGTACATTCAGCAGTGACTATTAGATCTAATACATCTTTAGGAAAAATTCCTTAATGTAAAATTCCTGGAACAAAAGGAATATGTTCTTAAAATTTTTTTAAATGGTGTCAATGACTCTAAAATCATCAGGCATCATCAAGCTTTTTGTTTTTACAAACCAGACAGTTGCTTCAAAATAGTATCGTGTTGCCTTTTTAAAAAACATTTTTTTTAAATGTTTTTATTTCTTTTTGAGACAGAAAGAGACAGAGCATGAGCAGGGGAGGGGCAGAGAGAGAGGGAGACACAGAATCCAAAGCAGGCTTCAGGCTCCGATCTGTCAGCACAGAGCCCAACGTGGGGCTCAGACTCACAGACTGTGAGCCAAAGTCGGATGCTCAACCGACGGAGCCACCCAGGCGCCCCTTCTAAAGCACGCCCAAATTCGTGTTGCTTTAATTTGCATTTTCTTCAGCTGTAAGGCTAAGAATCTTTTCAAACTTTTATTGGTTGCTTTTTCTATTGTTTTCTTCCTATAAATGGCATGCTATTTCGCCAGTTTTTATATTAGGGTGTCATTCTTTCTTCTTACTGATTTTAACATGTTTTTTTATATTTCAGAACCTATCCTGGACATGTGTGTTACACACATACTTTTTCGCCAGGTTGTGTCTATTAATTTTACAAAAACAATTATTTCTGCCACGTATAATTAAAAATTTTATAAAGTCAAATTTGTTCTTATCTTTATGTTTTCTGGCTGTGTTCACTGCTTAGAGACTACTTTCTCATACTCAAGATAATAAACATATTGACCTTGTGAATTCCCCTTTTACATTTCCATTAACAATGTAGAATTTATGTTGGGGCTACAATAAAAAGTAGAAATTCAGTTTTGTTTTTTTCTTTTTCCCCTCATTGAGTCAGTTTTCTAAGACCATTTATTAAATAATCCATCTGTTGTATGATATCAAATGTCGTCGTCATCATCATCATTTACCATCATCATATGCTAATCATCATCAGATACTAAATTCTCATTCTATGTAGGCCTAAGGGTTAATTCTCTCTTCTATTACTTTGTCCATTCCTGCACCATTACATATTCTTTATTACTACATTCTGTAACACCTTTAAAAATCTGGTAGAGCTCCTTTCATTATACTTTTTCCTCCAGAACTCTCCTTGCTATGCTCATATTCATTTTCTGAAGAATTCATTTTAGAAGAAACGCAAAGCACTTTTTTTTTAACTTTTCCTCTTAAATTTTGGGAATATTATACTTGAGCCTGAACTTAATTTATACATTAATTTAGAAAAGAACTCACAGCTTTTCAATTTTGAGTCTTACCAGCCCTCAGCTGTATAAGGAAGCTGCAGTAGCAGTGATAAATATAATGACAGTTAAGAGCTACAGGGTACTGGGGCGCCTGAGTGGCGCAGTCGGTTAAGCGTCCGACTTCAGCCAGGTCACGATCTCGCGGTCCGGGAGTTCGAGCCCCGCGTCAGGCTCTGGGCTGATGGCTCGGAGCCTGGAGCCTGTTTCCGATTCTGTGTCTCCCTCTCTCTCTGCCCCTCCCCCGTTCATGCTCTGTCTCTCTCTGTCCCAAAAAAAATAAATAAAAAACGTTGAAAAAAAAAATTTAAAAAGAGCTACAGGGTACTTACTATATACCAAACCTATTGGATGAACTGATTTTAGTAGTCACAACCACCTTATGCAGTATCATTACCTTTGTTTCATAGATAAGAAAATTAAGTCTCAAAGAAGTTAAGCAATTTGTCCAAGGCCACAACCAATAAGCCAAGTAGCTAATATTTTAATCAATTTGCAATTTGACTTGAATCCATACTTTGAACTATAGTAATTAAAAACAAGGTGTGTTTTTTTGTTTTTTCTTCTTTTAGACACTGCAAATTAATTATTTAATTTCTAGGTAAAATTAGTTGCTATTTTAATAAGGACCATTTTTTCCATTAAATTTCTAACTTGTTACTGGGTGTATAAAAGAAAACTACTTATTTTATAATATTAACTTTGAAAGGTGTCCACCTTGCAGAATTCTCTTATTGTCCCTAATAATTTTTCAGTAAGTCCTAAAAAGTCTCCAAATATACAATCATATCACAGGCAAATATTTATAACTTCAATGTCTGTTCCAATATTTTTATCTCTCAATGTCTAACTGAATCAATTTTGCATGCCTTAATAATGGCATATTACACTTCTGATGTGCTACTAGAATCCGTTTGTAATATTTACTTTACCACCATTGCCTAAGTGAAATTAGTCTGTTTTCCTCTATATTTCAGTTTAGCATCAAAATGATCTTATCCTTTAAGATTAAAAGAATTCACCCATGAAACTATCTGGATTTAGTGCTTTTTGATACTCAATTTCTCCTTCCACACTTAGTGTCTGTTTAGATTCTCTCTCCGCTGGATTTATTTTTAATGGTACTGGGTAATTCTCTTAACTTGCATACAAACTGCAATAATTTTGTCTCACTAAAAAGGAAAAATATGAACAAACATATAAATCAACATTATTGGAAAACACTCCCAGCCAGGATGAGTTAAATGTACAAAATTTGTAGCAAATTATTGTATACAGTTTTTATTTAAGCCATGGGTTTTGGGGGGAAAAAAACTTTTAAATAGAGCTTTCTAAGTAGTGAATGATGCTAGGATGCTGATACCCAGACAACTGTAAGTAAAAGAGAAATGAAATCAATGCTGTGGACCATGAAATATATACACACATATATATATATGTTTTCTTTCTACAAGATACAGAATGGTTTTCAATTAGGTAGTATATGTGTATGTATTAAATAGTTATAAAATGTACTCAAAAACACAACATAATTATGCACAATGCTCTTAAGTGTTACTACTCTGGTCATGTAATCTCTAAAAGTAGGCTAAATATCAGAGTTGAAAGTGGCATTCCCCTAACTTGTTCCAACATGGTACACTTATAATAAATTCATAGTTATACGAACACCCCACTAGAACTCTGCACTTCACAAACCAGCACAAAGTAGTTAAAAGTCAAATATCACACACACTTGACTACTGATAGAAATATATATAATTTTTAAACTGCTATCATTTTTGTGTTAATTTTCCCCAACTACATACAGTAAGGCTCTAAGTACACACTGAAATCTAGAAAGACTCTGAAACCACAGTGTTGAAAAGAGGGTCAGAAGAAGGCAAAAGAAGCTTCCTTTCTATAATGCTTAATAAAACTTTAATATAAGAAACAGGATATTAAAATTTCAGAAAAGAATGAAATATGGGGAAAACAATAAGCTCACTTTTAAACATGTTATACATCAAAAGGATCCCTGGCCTTAATATTAGAATGCTAATGAGTAACCAAAAAAGAGTTAATATTCGCATTACTGTTCTTTGAAAAGACTTTATAAACACTACTGAGATATAGAGATATAAACAATTAAGAAAGTTGGAAGTACTCTGATATGGTACAAACCTACCTGTGCACATGATTCTTCAGGTGTTTTGGCACTAACTGAATAAAGTGCTGGGAGATCTAGTCTGTGCACAGAGAATTTTTCTAGAGTGTGCAAAAGTGCTGGAGCAAGGTGAGAAGTTTGACCTGAGCCTCTTTCTCCAGACAGCAATAATCTTGGCCTGTAAGAGGTTGGCTGATGATATGGTGACCTGGAATACATATAAGACATGATAATTATTTCAAAATGATACACTCTGAAGATCAGTATGAAATATTAGGTAAAATATTTACACTAAATATGTAACTCCAAATTAATAGAATTTTTTCTTTTACTTCAAGTACAGTGAATAATTTTTTCATTAATTATCATTTTAAAATGTTGATCTCCCTGACAATTTTAATAACCATGATGTAAAAGTATAAAAACTCATTCTAAAACAAAGTAATAATACCTGGGTATTCATTCTATCATACCATATATATTACTTGGAAAACACTTCAGACACTAAGGAGACATAGCTATTAATTATTCAAGATCAAATGTTAAGAATCCCATTTCAACAAAGAAGTAGGTATATCTGAAGATTACCCAAAATGTAGGACTTTTTTTTTTAAATGGTTAAAATGGTAAATTTAATGTATATTTTACCGCAATTTTTAAGATAGAAAATAAATGTAGGATTTTTTCAGTGGCAGCAAATTTTGGTTTGGGGCCAATACAAACTAAATGTCCACACCCTAATACATGACATCTGAAGACCTACAATAGAGAAAGCAAATTTAGGAAAATGTATTAAACCAGGCTGAACTTACACTCTCAAGATTCCACAACCCCATTAAAATGATGAATGAAACAAGTTTATCTATCATTATAGATAACATAGGAAATTTTAAGCAATGCAGTAAGAATAAAGCAAATAAAAACTGGAATAGAAAGAAATCAGGAAAACACTGTTACTTGTAAAGGATACGATTATGCACTAAAAAAATCCAAGAGAATCAACTAATTAATAACTGTCAGAATCTACCAAAAGTAACAAGTCAGAAAACAGAAACAGAAAAATCAAAACATAATAACACCATCAATAACCAAAATAAAGAAGGAAAGAAGATCCTTTCTTTTTTTAATGTTTATTTATTTATTTTGAGAGAGAGATAAGAAGAGCAAGCGAGAAAGGGGGAGAGAGAATCCCAAGCAGGCTCCATGCTATTTGGTAAAGTGTGCTAGACCCAATTTTAGAACAGTTAAACCTGTTTCAGTAATAAGTACTTCACATAGTTTTAATTTTCTTAGCAATTCTATGAAACACATAGTTTCTTCTTAGTAAACAGATGAAGAAACCAAGACTCAGAGAAGTTAGGTATGAGACTGTTACAAATGGGTGGTCAAAGAGTTCAAATCTCATTCAGGTCCATATAATTGCTAAGCTGAACCACCATGCTAACATGTACACTACTTTATATTGGAATATATTACAGGGGCGCCTGTGTGGCTCAGTCAATTAAGCGTACGACTCTTAATTTTGGCTCAGGTAACAATCTCACAGGTTCATGGGATCAAGCCCCACGTTGGGCTCCACACTAAGCATGGAGCCTGCTTGGGATTCTCTCTCTCCCTTTCTCTGCCCCTCCCTCACTTGCTTGCGCTCTCTCTCAAAATAAATTTAAAAACATTTTAAAAAATCTATTACAAGAGCACCTGGGTGGCTTAGTCAGTTAAGTGTCCGACTCTTGGTTTTAGCTCAGGTCATGATC